TGTAGGGCACTGTTTCTGTTTTCTTCTAGCTGTTTCAGTATTTAGCTTTCACACTGAACATTTGAAGTTGATTAAAAATTTATTTTTTTTTAATTTTATGTGTATGAGTGTTTTATCTGCATGTATGTAACTATACCATGTGCATGTGCATGCAATGCCTGTGGACCAGAAGAGGGAGTCAGAAACCCTGGAACTGGAATTATAGATGGTTGTTAGTTGCCATGTGAGTGCTGGGAGCTGAGCCTGGATCCTCTGCAAGAGCAGTAAGTACTCTTAACTGTAGAGCCATCTCACCAGCCCCATGAAGGTTTTTCCTCCTAAAGTAGTCTGGGTTGGTCTCCTGTTTGCTTGCCCCAGGCTCATCTGGTTTTTAAGTTTCCATTGAGAAATCAGTTGTTATTCTGATGGGTTTTCCTTTATATGTGTACTTGTGGATTTCTCGTACAGCTTTCAATGCCCTGTCTTTGTTCTGTATATTTAGTGTTTTGAGAATAATAAGCCATGGAGAATTTCTGTTCTGGTCCTGTCTGTTTAATATTCTGCATACTTCTTGTATCTGTATGTGTATGTCCCTTCCTAATTTGGGGAAGCTTTCTTCTATGATTCTATTGAAGATCTGGTGTATACCATTAAACTTGGATTCTTCTTCATTTATGCTTAGAATTTATAGACTTGATCTTTTCATGGTGCCCTGAAGTTCCTGCATATTCATTTTTTGTGTTTTACTTTTTTATCATTTTCTTTCATTGACTGGTCCAATTCCTCTACTTTCTTCAAGTCCTGATAGTTTCTCTTCTACTTGATCCATTCTACTGATAAGGCTTTCCCTTGAGTTTTTTAAATTGGGTCTTTGAATTTTTCAATTTTATCTTAATTTCAGTTTGAGCTTTCTTCAGTATTTCCCTTTATTGAATTCAGTTTTCAAATCCCATGTTGTCTTTGTAATTCATTCAGCCATTTGTGTTTTCTTGGACTTGTTAGTTTATCTCTGTCCTCTCTATGTTCATTCAGGGGCTTCCTTGTGCCCTTATTGAAGTCCTTGAATTCTTTGATCATGTTTATAATTGTTCATTTAAATTCTGTGTCCTGAATTTTTGCCAGGTAATTCCCATCAGAAAACATTTCTATAGGGCTGATATTGTCTTGGTTTTTCATATTGTGTATGATTTTTGTGATGGGACCTGGAAATGTGGATTTATTTCATTGGTTATATCTCTGATATTAGATTCTAGCTTGCTTATGTTGAGCAGAAGTTTGGTTTTGTTTTATCTGTTGCCCAAATTGGTTAATTTCAGGTCAGGTAGGAGGAATGAGCAGGTCAGTCCTCAGATTTTCAGTGATGATTCTTGGTTGGAAACACTGGGGCGACTCAGTTCAGTCGTAACTAGTGTGATGCAAGGGTCTTAAAGGCATGGGATTGCTTGGGTAAAATACAAGAAAGTTTCCTGGTGTGACTTTCAGTTGGGCCTGGGCCTGGAGGGCAGCATAGGTCCAGGTCTCTGGTCAGACTCAGCCTGAGAGCATAGGGATGCTGATCCAGCTAGGCTTAGACCAAGAAAGCTTACAGAGCAGTTCCTACCTGGGCCTGGAGCAGTGGTATGGACATGTGGTATAGGTGCGGGTGTTGGGTCAGAGTAGGCAAGAAAGTGCTTGGATATGGCTCTTACCTGGGTCTAGAATGGAGACACAGAGTGGAGAAGTGACATAGGGTGGGGCTCTTCTCTTTTAGGATATTAATGCAGTATTCTTAGAATTGGATGATTTGGGCCTGACATTGTTAGTAGGGACAGAAAAGAGAAAACAAAGATTCATTTATCAGGAAAAGTACTTGACGGCCAGTGAAGGTGGCTTAAGAAGCTGGGTGGCTGTATAGATAATGAATAGCATAGATGAAGTTTCTAAGGAAGTATTTATAATGAAACATTTTCAGCTAGACTCTAATGCAAGGGAAGATCTGGACCTTGACATTTTTTGCTGAGAAAGAAGCTCATATAAATCTTATTTTGTGTTTTTTAAAAAGAGTATTTTAAAATTGGGCTGGAGAGTTTGCTCAGTGGTTAAGAACACTAGTTGTTCTTGCAGAAGACCTGCAAGAACATTGTAAGATTCTTAGGAAAATGAAAGTACAGAGCTCATCCATGTACCTCTCCCTAATATCAACATCCTCTAATATTTGTTAAATTTGTCAACCTTTGTGGACACATCTTAATCATTCAGAGTCCATGGTATATATTCAGGTTCACTCTTGATATTGGAGATGGTTAAAGTGTTTGCATTTCTTCAAAGATCATTTGAAACCTAACCTCACTGCAACAGCATTATGATATGAGGCCTTCAAAAGCTTGGGAGGTAGCACAGTGATGGAGCACTGGATTCCATTCCAGGAACTGGAATTAAATAACTACTAGGCCTTTAGGGGATTAGTGACCTTACAGAAGGGTCTCTTTCATCACATGAGGGCTCCTGAATACTGGCGTCTCTGAGGAGCTCAGCAGGCATTGATTACAGAGCACCCCTCCACGTGCACTATTGGAGCCCATATACTCGGTCATCCCTGTTAAGGCCCACTGGGGTGTCAGCGTCCTGAACCGTTCCCCAGTGCAAGTCCATCCACTAAGTCTAGTCAGTCTATCTAGAGTCCCTTGTTTGAGGAGGATCATCTCTTCTTCATCTAGCAGCAATCAGTTGCCAACATTCCTTCAGATAAGGTTGAGGTCTGCTATTCATTTACAAAGGGAGGGGGGGCATCTCTAGTTGAGACACCAGGACAGTGATGTAAAATGGAAGTTTTCTTGGAAAACAGGGAGCATGTTTGCTTTAGAGAAGAATAAAATACTTTCAGTGCCCCTTTAGTATTTGATAGCTTCCTAGTCTTAGTATGGAATAGCTAGACAAATAAATGCTTTAGATTTACATAGATGTGTCTTAAACTTTAGGCAGATCAAGTGTTGAAATATTCAGATTACCTCTCTGTTTGGGAATAAAATGGTGGCACTTTGTCTTGAGATCAAATTAGAAGTTTCAGGTAAAGTGCCTTGCTCAGTGTTTAGCAAACTGTTAAGTGGCCAATAATAAATGAAGTGATGCAGGCAAATGAGTTCTGCCTTGGGGGGGGCATTGCCCAGAGAGACTTTTGGGAAGTGAGAGACTCTAGGTAGGGAGATCAGGATGAAGGACAGAGTCCCAGCTGGAAGAGCATATGTGGAGTTGCTAGCAGTTCAGACTCTTAGAGTATTAGACAAAGCAGGACCTGCAAATAAGAAGTCGATCCTAGGAGTAAATGGAAAGATTATGGACAGAATAGATAGCTGTTCACTAGTTCATTTGCCACTATTAATTGATGGATCGACCCCATACTAGGCTCCAGCAAATGACAGTAAGGATATAAAAATATATATCAGACATATTTTTTCAAAACACCATTACATAGTGAAAGAGGCGAACTTGGAAACATCAGAGCAGGTAGATTTCTGCCCAAGTGGTGTAAATCAGATGAGCTTGAGCTCTAAGTATGTCCTAAGGTATCCTATGTGACCTTGGACAATTTGTTTTACCTATTCAAACTTCATCTTTGTCATGAGAAAATAATGATACCTAATTCATTAATTGTGATGACTAAATGGGAAAATTAATACTTTGGTACATGAGTTGACACTGACGAAATGTTACTTGTTTGTTATTATTATCTTAGAACCCCTCTCTTTAAAACAATTCCTTCTATCCCTATTGCTGATATTTCCAAATTAAGTTTCATACTCTAATTCAGTTCAGTTACATCTTGACCTTCATAGTGGAAATGCCCCTTGGCAAGATTAACAAAAGAAAATTATATTACTCTTTTAACATTTTGGTTCAAATGACATTAACAGAAACTTCTGAAGGTTAGAAATAATAAGCAACAAAAGCATATGGCTTAAGACTAGGAGATGTGGGAGCTACGAGGAAAGAGAAGGATGACTTAGATGATGCTGGGATCATGGGATCTCCCAGAGATCATGGGAGCCTCAAATGGGCTACCACACCCAGGATTATTTTCATGTGTGCTTCTATGGAATTTTTCTTTTGTTTTCTTTTCTTTTTAAAAAATTATTATTTGTAGCCAGGTGTGATGGCACACTCTTTCAGTCCCAGCATTCTGGAAGCAGAGGCAGGCAGATATCAAGTGTCAAAAATCTCTGTGAGTTCAAGGCCAGCCTGGTCTATATAGTGAGTTCCCACCCAGCTGGGGCTACAGGAAGATCCTGTCTCAAAAAAGACAAAAAGAATCATTATTTGTGTGTGTGTGTGTGTGTGTGTGTGTGTGTGTGTGCATGCGTGTGAGTGTGTGTGTGCGTGCATGTGAGTGTGTGCGTGTGCGTGTGTGTGTGCATGTGGAGATGCTCATAAGACAACTTTCAGGTGTCAGTTCCCTGTCTCCACTGTGAGTTCTAGGGAGATTGAATTCAGGTCCTCAGGCTTGTGCAGTAAGCAGCTTTTACCCACTGAGCTGGACCGAAAATGGTATTTTAAAGAGTACTTGGCTTGGTTGTTGAAGAGAGATGTCTGTTGTGTATTTATAACTTTTGAGTCTTTTAAAAATACTTTTCTTGACTAGATTTCTTATCAGTTCTAAGGTGTAATTTTCTCATATTTTCCTATCTCTGACCTAAGTTATATCTTTCAGGTGATAAAAATTTAAATGTATTTGACTTAAACAAAAGTAAGGATTAATTTTTTGTCCTATAGTCATTGGCAGCTATGACTTAAGTAAATACAGTCATAGATATATGAATGAAGATTATATGAATGAAGGAATGAATGAATGAAAGGTATTCATACCCCTTCACATATCAAATTGTTCATTCTTCTTGAAATCCAGCTTTTGTATACTATAGACATCAAGGAAAAGTTGAATGTTAATCTTTATGCAAGTCTTCGTAAATGTAAGTCAGAGAATAAATCACTTCAAATTGCTCTTAATTATTTCTCTCTAGAATAATGTAGCCTCTTTTACCTTCTAGGTGAAATTGATCTTCAGATTCTTTCCAAAGTCCAGGATCAGTGCCCAGGGGTCCATATCAACAATGAAATTGTTGAGCCAAGTGCTGAACAAATTGTCAAGTACAAAGGTATGTGCTAAGTCCTATCTCCAAAGGCTTATCCTTCCGTATCTGTGCCTTGGTTAACAGTATGACGACTAGTATGTATTTGGCAAATTTATTTGGAGAAAAACCCAAATTAATTCTTAGCAGGCAGAAGGATCACTGTTAATACCTTCATGCATTCATCTATTTTAAGCAATGTTTATTATTAAGGGTACAGTCATTAATTCATTTAGAAATGTTTAAACAGATCTCTGCCCTTATAGATGTTTGTTTAATTGGCTACAGCAGAAGTGGATAAACTTTCTGAAAAGGGTCAAATAGTGGCCATGTAGTTTGTTATAGGTAATTGACTCTGTCATTATTGTATAAAGGCAATCATAGAAATATTTAACTAAGCACCAGTGTGTCCTAATAAAATTTTATTTATACATCTTAATATTTGATTTTCACATCAATTTTAGAAATTATGAAATATCATTTAAAATTTTTCTCATCATTTAATATAGGAATAGAATGACGTGAATGACAGAGACACAAAGTCAGAGAGTACTGTACATTCTAAACTTGTTTTCCACACAAAAATAGTTTGTAGGAGATACTTTGCTTATTCCTGGTTTATACAATCTTGTTACTTGTTTCAAACGAACTTTACATTAATAAAATATAGCAGTTGATTTACTCTTAATGCTAAGATAACATAACCTCTACCTGGCCAGGTTCTCAAATTTACTTTTTTACTTTTGCTTTTACCTCTGATTTTGTGTGTGTCATACCTATTATGTATTGATGGCATTAAAATTCTTAATGGAGTTGGGTTCCATATGTGGAATTAGAATTGATTGTAGGTCACCTTGGTGTTCTAGAGCTCGTAGCCAAGACTTCAAACATGGAGAACATAAAATTTACTTGGCATAAGGAGACATCATCTGAATATCAAAAAAGAATGATGGAGGAAAAAGAGCCTCAAAAGTGGGACTTTATTCACATGATTCAGGTAAGAAACATTTATTATGATATGCTATCAAAAAGACTTTTTTCAGAAATATATATGAAGAATGCATAATATTCTAATTTTCAAAAATGAAAATCTTCCGAGTTCTAGCTATGTAGATGAACATTTTCTTTCCAAAAGAGTTGTTAATAATGCAATTTTTTTGACATTTAAAACTCCAGTTGTTTATTCCATAGTCATAACTTTTTTTCAGTGTTGTCTGTTTTCTGCAAAGTTCATATACCAATTTAATAACTGTAGAGTGATAGTGTATCCTAGCTAGTGTTCAATGGCGCTGCTAGTATAGAAGATTCAGTGTCCCAGAGTTTTTTGAATCCTCTTGCTTTTTTTTCCATCTGGTCTTCCTGGCTAGTGTCACTGTGACAGAAGGGACATATTGTATAATGCATTAGATCAATAAAGTTTTTTTAGGACTTTACTGTCATGGCTGAGCACCAAGAGACTGACCAGTGATGATTACTGGATGAATTGCATGAGGCTGCAATTCCAGGTACCACTGAGATTTTTGGATGGCAAAGAATATATAAGCTTTTGAAGTTGGCTACTGTTTGGTAATGTTCTTATTTTGTGTATATCACTTTATTAGCAACAAAACCCCAAGTCCTTCCTGTAGCCCATATAGTCTGTATGCCCAGTGTGTCTTGGATAGCCACTCAAAAGAGTATAATTATAAGAAGCCAAAGGAAGAAATGACTCCAAAGTCAACATATTTAGGCAATCCTTCCCTCTATTTCTTTAGCTGACAACATCTTTTGTCTATCAGGAAGCATTCAGCATGTCCAGCAAGCCTAGGCTATTTCTCTTTTAGACGAGTTTCCCCTCTTCACATGATTTTCTTCTCATCTCTGTCTCCTTACTCTTCCTGCAACCTGCAGCTCACCATTCATTCCTAGCTGATTATTTCATGCCATACTTTTTAGAGAAAAAATTCCATTGAAATCCAATCTTTTACCCACTGAATTTGCAACCATAGCTGTAGTTTGTGCCTGCCATCTCCTTCCATCTTATTACACTGCTTATCAAGTCATTTCCTCCACTTCTGCCCTGGATCTCTGCTATAAAATATTGTGTCCCGAGAGTTATTTCTCATTTCTCTCAGTTCTTCTTCATTTGCTATTTCTTTCTCGTAGCACCAATCTGTTTTCATCCCTCCTTATTTACTCTGCAGTTTTTGAGCTGTGTCTCTTCTCTGCTATTTGTAGTTCAAACATTCTTATGATGTTTTTCAGTTTGGCATTTATTGTCAACACGGAGATCTCAGTGTCTTAGAAGTGTGTCTATCTCAGTGTGTCTGTCTGTGATAGACAAGGTGGACATCCAGAGTGGTTTTATTTTATTCATTCCCGTGTGAAGGAGACATGGCTAAATTGACCTTAAGGCAGCGATTCTATTTTAGTCACACAACATGGAAAATTGAGTTGCCAAATTTTTTCTTGCCCAACAGAGCCAAAGATAAGATACAAGAAATACCTATTGGTTAGATTCCCTAGTGGCTAAAGAACACACATCATTGGGGGAAATTTCCCACTTTCAATATATAATATCAAGCTCTATGTTGGGTAGAAAGGCCTCTAGGGATTGCTCTAGAATTATTAAAACCGAGTGAGCTGACCCTTGATACTGTATGACTTCATGCTTTGTATTGTCTAATGTCTTATTGAATCTGTAAACATCAAAATCCTGTCATATTTTCTGTGCTTAAAGAAAAAATAAGAAAGAGTATGTGAAGATGTGGAGAAGCTCTTGCAAAAGGCTTAATTTAAAAGTAGCATTCCATGAAATGGGGTCTCCTTTTATAACATCAGCATTATTTTCTCCTACAAGCATTAAAACTCAGAAAATGTAGAAGAAGCACCAGTATTCACTTTTAGAATGGAATCTTAATGTCTTTAGTTATAAATGCAGTCTATGTTATGGAAACCAGAAAGTAAGTTTAAAGCTATTTGCCTGTAGGACTAGAGATGTAGCTGAGGGGTAGAGTGCATGCCTAATACATGGAATGCCCTGGGTTCTAGCCCCAACACTGGGGCGGTGTGTGTGGTGGGGAGGCAACAAAAGCTGTTTACTTATAGTTGGGGAAATGCCACAGCTATCCCTTCCCCAGATATTTTATTGTCCTAACTCTGCATATAACATCTCTGACCTTTTAGTTTTAAAAGATTTTTGTCAAATAAAAATTACCCCAATTTAAAAAATCAAAACTTCCAGTGAGTATCCATCTAATTACAAAGACTCACATGCAGAGAAGCTTCACATGCAGAGAAGTGTCTTATTTTTTTCTTTTCCCCCTACTTAGATGCTGTATTATGTAGATGATATCCCAGCTACCCTGAAATTCTTCCATGGTCTCTTAGCTGCCAATGCTAATATTCTCATTATTCTTGTGTCAGGTAAGCTATTTCAATCAGCCTGAACTTTTTAAAACAATGATTGTGCACATATAAGTAGATTTATGTATTTAGAGAGTTAGCATATTTTGTCTTAAGAAATTCTTGTCTTGCTTTCTGGTCATTTTCAATTAATTAAAAATTATTTGTTATTTTTATTTTATGTATATGCATATATTGCATGTAGGGAAGTGCACCCATGATGTGCAATGCCTGAAGAGGTCAGAAGAGGCTGTGGGATCCCCTGGGACTGGAGTTACAGACAGTTGTTACAGACAGTTGTTAGCTGCTATGTGGGTGCTGGAATTCGAACCCAGGTCTTCTGGAAGAACAACCAGTGTTCTTAACCGCTGAGCCTCCATCCCCCATTTTCAGTTAACTTTTGTATCAGTAGAAATTTCATTCACAACAGCTCTCAGTGTAGGGAGTTGTCCTAGTTTGTTTCCCCATAGCTGTGACAAAACACTCTGACTACTACCAACTTGGGGAGGAAAGAGTTTATTTGTCTTACATCTCCCAGGTCACAGTTCATCAGGGAGCCCAAGGTAGGAACTCAGGGCAGGA